GTCATGAGCAAAATCACGACGGGGGGGGGTTCACAATTTTCGGCCTCTGGGGGTCCTCACCGGGCCTCGGGACCGTCAAGAAACGACTCGGTGCGAGAAACCGGTCCTGGGGAATGGGTCGAGACCTCGGGGGGTCGACGTAACGAGAACATCATGACGTCGGGGGCTTGAGGACTGTGGCGCCACATTTCTGAGACCAATCGTGAGCCCTACCCCTGCGTGTCCAATCGACGCTGGGGTTATGGGACACCCCCGCTAGGGCTCCACCTAGCTGCAGACATCCTTCGGATTCGGAAGCACAGCCCGGTTTCCAGAAGTCTGACCTGCAGGGACAGGCCGCGCATGCAGTTGGCTCGCACCGCCAGGTGAGAAAAAGGCTCCACCTTGCAGGGCAACCCCTAGACGAAGATCTTCTGACAAACCACAACAAGTTGGCGCACCTGAGAAACCTGTAGCCGCGGGTCGAGAGATTCTCCACTGTTCGTTCCCTCCAGTTGTGGAATTCACAAAGTCCTGGTCAGAAGTGGCGTGGCTTATGGGGCCCACGCAGTTCTAGGCCTCCCAGAGGGGGTCCGAGCAGATGTGGTCGGAGGATCGCGCCGCATCGTCGATGCATCGGCGACGCGGCTCGATGCGGAGCCCGATTTTCTTCACGCAGACGTCGCCGATGCATCGCCGACGTTGCCTATGCATCGCCGATGCATCGCCGGCGCATCGCCGATGCATCGCTGATGTATCGCCGATGCATCGGCGATGCGGCGCGATCCTTCGACCCCCTCTACTTCGACCCCATCTAGGAGGCATCTACGTACGCGTTCCCCAGAAATCCCTACCCATTCCCTGGGGCCGGCTCGTCCCCCAAAGCCGTTTCGCTGACGGCCCCGAGGCCCGGCGAGGGCCTCCAGGGGCCGAAGATGGCCAGAAGCCTCCCGTCCTGTTGTTTTTCGCAGGACGCGAGCAGGTCTCGACGCTTCGCTACGCTGCATCTCCGTGGAGCCTCGCCCGTGCCCGACGCGGGCTCGATGCGGCCTCGACACGGATTCGGCGTGCACTCGACGCGGACTTGACACGGGCTCGACAAGGATCCGACGAGGCCAACATGGACTCGACACGGATTCGACGCGAACAGGGCCTCGACGAGACAGACAGGGCCCCCCGAGGATGCAACACAAGCTTCGCTGCGCAGCCGCCCCCGTGCCGCCCGACCGACCTGCGCGCCAGCCGGACCTGCCACCAACAGACGCAAGCCTTCAGTCGGGCCTGTCCCTCTGCAGGGGGAATAGCCACAAACAGTAAACCATGAATCGTCTGGGGACTATTTTGTTGAGTCTCTCTGGGCAGCTTTGGGGCATTTCTTTGAGCACCTTTTCTTCTTCGTCCCAAACCCCCCCCCCGGCAGGGGGGACGGGCCCGACCTGCACGCGAGCCCCTGCCGCGCCGCCGCGGCGGCGGCCCCGGCGTGCCCCCCCAGGGCCGCCGCGGGCGGCCCGCGGGCCGCGCGCCGACGCGGAGCGGCAGGAGCCCCCGGCCCCTCCCGCCCGCGGGGCGCCCCCCGCGCTGGGCGTCGGCGCCGCTCTCGGGAGCTGCCGGGGGGTAGCCCGCCAGAGGCTTTATATAGCAGCAGGGGGCGCGTATCACAAGCAAGGGGGCCTTCGGGCGCCCTGCGTCGGTGCTCGGCGGTTTTTCCAACTTCGAGAGGCGCTCCGGTGGCTGCGCCTCGGCGATAGCGTTCCGGGGGTGCCAGGATCGTCCCGAACCGCGGGACGGAGACCCGAGCTATGACACAAAAGCTACATTCGGCGGCGCGCCCGGGGAAGGGGGAGTGCGAAGGAGAAGGCCATCTCAGAAGGCGGCGGGGCTTCTCAGAAGGCCTCCGGCCTTCTGAGAGGTTTGCTGCGTCTTCGGGGAAGGCTTGGACAACTTCTCTGAAGGCCAGGGGACTTCCGAGCCTTCTGAGAAGGCCCGCTCTTCTCACTTTCTCCCTGGGCTCTCCGCCAGATTGTATGGGGCCCAACATTCGGCACAATCGGAATGTGTGCGGAAAGACGGTACGACGATTGACAGCAGGTCTTGCCCATTTTGCGCAGGGGTCGCTGTCCGTGCCGGCGCGGACGTTGTCCATTTGAGGCAAAAGACCGCCTGCCCAACAGCATCCGCTGTCAGTGTTGGACAACATTTGTTGTTGGGCATCGTATTCGTTTTTCCGTACCCATATAGGGCATGCAAAACCACGTGGACGCCCGAGCAACAGCTACCTGATGCTTCCGGGACACCGTCCACTGATGCTCCTCGGGTGTGTGTGTGTGTGTGCGTGTGTGTGTGTGTGTGTTCATGGCCAGCGTCACTGGCACGCCAGAAACAGGTATGGAAAACATGGGCACGACGTTGTCCAGAACCCAGCCGCACGTGTTGTCCAGCACCGACGCCGGCCGCTGTCGGGTAGGCGCCCTGCTGCCTCGAACGGACAGCGCCCGCGGGGGCACCGACCGCGTGCCCAGTTCAGAACGAACAGGAGCTGCTCTCACGATCCGTCCCCACTATTTCCGTACTCGTTCCGATCGTACCAGCACCAGCTCGGGGAGGGAGGGAGGATCGGGACGAAGAACGTATGTCTAAGAGCGCCTGATGATATGCGGTATTCAGTGCTTGCCAGCTTGTGCCCCGAATGGTGAGCGATTGCGATGTGGATGTGCGATATGCGGTGCAATCTAGGTGTACTATATAATTATGTGGTGCAACATGTGTGTTGTAATATGGGCGGTGGTGCAAACTATGTTGTGCAGCCCATGCGGTGTAAACTATGTGGTGCGGGCCAGGTATGCGGCGCTAGGCACGTAGTGGAAGGCGCGCGTGTGCTATAGAGCATGTCAGGCGCAGCATCTCAGTGGCACGCTTCCTGGTGCAAGCTATGAGGCGCCAGCCATGTGGCACGCGCCGTGTAGTGCAACCCATGCGGCCGCCCAAACGCACGAGGCGCCCACGAGGCGCCCACGGGCGGGCGCCAAGCGACACCCCGGAGCCTACCCGCCCCGCGCACGGGGCGGGCGCACCAGGCGCCCACGAGGCGCCCACGAGGCGGGCACCAAGCGACACCCCGAGGCCTACCCGCCCCGCGCACGGGGCGGGCGCACGAGGCGGGCCCACGAGGCGCCCACGAGGCGGCCACGGGTGGGCACCCGGGCGGCACCGCATGCACGGCCACCCGGCGCCGAGGGCGCCCGCGGGCGGGCACGGGCGAGGCCTCGCGGCACGCCCGCCCATGCACGGGGTGCCTTGGCCGCCCAGGGTACGCCCTTTGAGGCCCTCCCGCGCGCGGCCCACGGGGCCTGCCGGCCTCCCCAGGGCCCCTCGAGCAATGCAAGAATCATGACGGGGGGGGGTTCACGATTTTCGGCCTCTCGGGGCCCTTACCGGGCCTCGGGACCGTCAAAAAACGACTCAGGACGATGAAGCACCGGTCCCAGGAAACAGGTCTAAACTTTTGGGGTCGACGTCATGAAAAAATCATGACGTCAGGGGTCTGGGTCCGCTGCGCGTAGCTGGGGCCCTCTGCCGGAGTGGCCCTTGCTGCGGGCTCGCGGGGCGTCTCCCCAGCAGGAGCTGGCGCGCTTCGGTTCGGCCCCCCCGCGTCCCTCTGACGCCGCGCGCACCAGAGGTCACTGGTGCCCAGGGTCACTCGACTTGCGCGCAGCCGGGTTCGGCCCAGGCCTGCCGACGAGCCAAGGAAGCCTGCAGCTGGGCTGCCCCGCAGACACGTCTGATTTTCTCGATGGTCCTGGGGAGACCCTTGTGGAGTCTTTGGGCGTTCTGCCAGGAAGCTGGATAAACGTAGTGCGGCCAGCTTGGGCGAGAACTGAGTACACATGTGGCAATGTGCCGTTCCTGCGCTCGGACCTGAGATGGCTGTGCATGCCAGGCTTCTGTATATGTATGCAGCGCGTGGCTTCTAAATTCTCTCCGTGTTGATCCAGCCATTTGTGTTTCTAGCTTCTCGGTTGGAGGCTCAGGGGTCGGCGACATGTGCCCACCCCTTTCAGACATCTTGCAGTCAGAACTTTTGTCGTACGGTGGGGGCGTTCGCTCTGGAATGATGGAATGCGCTCAGCAGTCTTCAGACTTTGGAGGACTCCTTGTCTAATCAGGGTGGTGGTGATATCCATGGCCAGTCCACGATTGGGGCTCCACCGGCTTCCAGACCCTGGATCCCTTCTCAAATGATGGTTGCTTGTCCAATGCCCTCATCGTAAGTACTCTTGTCGTCCGTATCTGCTGCACAGGACCCGAAGGGCGATGGTCAATGCTCCACTCCGATTGGATGCCAGGCGTTTCGACGATCTCGGACTGGCGGCACTAGCCCTTTGCCCCTCGCTGCCGTAGGCTCACGTGTATTCTTGTGCGGCCGAGCCACGTGTGGCAGCACTGCAGCCCTGGTGAAGATGGACTCTGCAGACCTTCTCCGAAGCCTGCTCCTGTTCCTTCCTCGTCCTCGTCCTCGTCGTGATCCCTTTCCTCTTCTGCCCCTTGGCTTCCTGCCCCCCTCCCCTGCCGCCGTCAGAGCAATGGGGGCAGGGAGGAAGAGGGGCGAAGGATGGAGGGGAGAGGAGGGGAGGAGGGAGCGAGTGAGGAGGCGGTGGGGATAGGAAGCTCAGTCCCAGACAAGCGTGTCTTGTTTTTTTTTGTTTTCGGTATGGGTAGTTCCAGGAGGCCACACCCTTTTTCTCGAGGGCCAGCTTCTCGTCGGGAGCCGTCTTTTGGCGCGAGGACGGCCCCCACACATGAGGCCGACAACGGCTCAAAGCCTCTGCCTTGACTTTGCTCGAGACGGTGGCTGTCTGGGGAGGACGGCGTGGAAGGGAGCATGGAAGAGCAGGGAGGTGCAAGCCCAGGCCCGAGCGGAAGCGGCGTGCGCGTGCGCATGCCCCCCCGGGCGCGTGGCTGCGTGAGCCTGCGGCCATGGCCTGCGGGGGGTCGGCGAGATTCCAGGCCGCCCTGCCGGCGAGGGTGGGTTCCAGCTCGCCCAGCCGCAGCCACGACAAGGACTCCCCTGACATATACATATGCACGTGCTCTGTGGGCCCCAGAAACGGCAGGGCCGTTTTTTTCACCGTTTCCAGAAAAATGTCCCTTGAAAATGGAAGCGGCAAAAAAACGGCGACCGGAAACGGCAAAAAAACGGGAACGGGAGCCGGAACCGGTCAAACAACGGCGACGGAACCGGTAAAAAAACGGCGCCGGAACCGGCAACAAAAACGGCAAAACGGAACCGGTAAGAAAACGGCCCTGTCGTTTCCAGGGCCCACTGGGTGCACGTGTGTCTGTCTGTCCGTATGTATCAGAAATCACCACGGCGGCATTTTGGTGATTTTTGTAGCCTCCCCGGAGATCCTGGCTCCGCAGCCTGCTCACACAGGGCCTGCTCGCCCGAGCGTTCGGGCCCCAGGGCTTCGCAGAGATCGGCCCTGGGCGGGACCGGCCGCAGAACGTCAGTGCAGGAGGCTCTGGTGGTGAGTTTCCCCGGGAGTCGGGATTTTGCTCGCGACGTCGGAGGTGGGGCCTCACCGGTCCGCAGGGCCATCATCAACGACGCTTGGACGGAGAGCCGGTCCTATTGGGAAGGGGTCGGAGAGTCCTCGGGGGATCCACGCTGCGAGGCAGAAGCCCGATGCGCTCGACGGGTGAAGGAAGCCCACCCACACACACCCTCGAGTCCTGAAAAAAGCACGACGGAAGGTTTGTGCGCCACTCTCGGCCTTGGGGGGCCCGTACTGGGCCTCGGGACCGTCAACAAACGACTCGGGACGAAACACCTGTCCTGGGGAATGGGTGGAGACTTCTTTGGGGGGTCGACGTAATGAAAAAAAATATGATGTCGGGGGTCTGAGGACTGTGGCGCCACACTTTTGAAGCCGATCGGGAGCCCTACCCCTGCGGGTCCAACCCACGCTGGGCTTACGTCGGACACCCCCGCTGGGGGTTCCCCCGGCTGCAGACATCCTTCGGACTCGGAAGCCCAGCCCGGTCTCCCAAAGTCCCAGGGAATGCCGTACATCGACAAAGTGTTGCACAGTTGTTCCTGTGCGTTGGCACCCGTACTGCATTGCTCTTGCCCCCCCCGTTCCCCCTGATCTTAATATTGGGCGCATGGCGAAGAGCTCCTGTTCCGCCAGGGGGCTCCCGACAAAATGTTGCACCACCGAGCTGTTTCGACCAGCCCGGACCGAACCCATATTAACGTCGGGGGGGAAGGGGGGGTGGGAAACAAAGGATACACACATATATATATATATATATATATATATATATATATATATAAAAGCGATGCGATTCATTGTCAGCGCCAGGTGGTGCAGCATTTTGTCGATGTGCCGTGGGTCGAAGCCTCCTGCCCAGACCCCTGACGTCATGATTGTTTCATGATGTCGACCCCAAAGGTTTCGACCTGTTTCCCGGGACCGGTGCTTCATCCTGAGTCGTTTTTTGACTGTCCCGAGGCCCGGTAAGGGCCCCGAGAGGCCGAAAATCGTGAAAAAAAACCCGTCATATTTTTTTCATCACTCGAGGGGGTCTGGGTGGGGGCCGACGCCGGGGCAAAGAGTCCTGCCGTCGGGGCTCGGGGCAGGGTGGCCCCGCGGGAGCGGGGCTCTGGAGGCCCGAGCGCCCCCGTGCCCCGCCTGCCGGGGGCCCGCCCAGGGCCCCGGCGGAGACGGGGCGTCGAAGAAGGAGAACGCCACGGACATGCAGTCGGGGGCGGCCCAGGGTGGGCGGGGGATGACCAGGGGGGGGGGGGGAGATTCGGGGACACGAGCAATGACATAAACAGAAAAAACAAATCGGGGGTCCGCGCGGATTTCGCGGATCGGCGCTGGGGACCCCTGGCGGCGCCTCCGGCGCCGCCCCTGGCGCGCTCCGCGCGCCAGGGAGGGGCGTCCAGCGCGGATCCAAGAAATCCGCGCGGACTTTGGAGTTTTTTATGTTTATGCCATTCTTCGGCTCCTTAGTATTACGGCGTTAGCCAGGATGTTTCCTCAAAGCTCACGGCGCCTCTTCTCATGTCATTGGTTGTGTCCCTGGCCCTCCTCCCCCCCCCGGGCCGCGCACACTGCCGCGGGCCATGATCTGCGCCCCGCCTCTTGGACGCCCCCCTCCTGGCCGCCCCCGACATAAACGTGTGGCCTTCGCGCGGATTTCTTGGATCTGCGCTGCCCCCCCCCCCCCCGGCGGCGCCTCTAGTGCCGCCCCTGGCGCGATTTGCGCGCCAGGGAGGGGGGTCCGGCGCAGATCCCACCCCTACCCCAAGTCCTCACCCTAACCCAAACCCCTAATCCTAACCCCAACCACCAACCCCAGCCCCAAAGAGTACTCACTACTCATTACTCACTACCCGCTACTGTCGACTACTCGCTATTCGCTACTCACTTCTCACAAGAGATCCGCGCGGAGCGCCAGAAGTTTATGTTTCTGGCACAAGTCCTTCTTTCGAGGCAGGCCGAGCCTTTCGGAACGCGGTCAGAGCGTTCCAGGGCGCTCTGAAAAATGGCCGCGGCGCCTGATGCATGCTCTGGACCCGGCAGTTCCCAGAGATTTTCAGATCGATATTTCCCTCCGGGTGTATCTTCGCACTGCCTACGACTACAAGGAATGGGACGGAGAGCTGTTTTTTGGTGAAGTTTTCGTGATCCATGCCCCGTGCCTTTCCAAGTAGTAGGTAGTAGTGCCCGTTTCCTCCCAGGATTCCCTTCCGTCATGCCAGCGCGCTCGTGTGGAGCGCCATCGGACCAGCCGCCGTAGGCGCTCGAGGCCGAACGTTCCCTTGGGGGTTTGTTTCGGGCCCGCCTGATGGTTGGGGCACATCCACCGCCTGCGGATCCGAACCTCCGACGGTCCGAAGGCGTTGGGCATGGCCCGAGTATATTCTTGATCCACCGCCGGCGGCTGGGCCACAGCCGCCGCCTGCGGATCCGAACCTCCGAAGGCGGTGGGCATGGCCCAAGTATATTCGTGATCCACCGCCCCCTCTGGTCGTGGGAGGTCGTCTCCCCACGCGATGGACACGTGCACGGTCGGGAACTGTTGGGTACATCAGGGAAACGAGAATTTCTCTGAATTTTGCGAGGTCGGTTGGGGATGTTCCGGCACTTGAAAGCTCGCGGGACGGGACTTGCCGTGGGGGCGGGGCTTGGCCCTGATTTTTGCTTATCGGACGGGGCTTGGAAGATCTTGATTGGGTGAATAAATACTATAAGCTCCCGGGCGCGCCCAAGTCCCGCCCCGCCCGACAGTGCGTCTTCGCTCGGAGTCCAGGGTGATGGGGAGATTTATCGTCATCATGCTCATCCTCATGTTTACCATCATCATGGCAGCAATCGTCATGGCCATGATCTTCCCGACAGTGATAGCCATCACTATCACGACCAGGATCGTCGTCATCGCATCGAGGCTCGCCGACGCCGTCGCCGTGGACGCGATGGAGACGGCCGCCGCTGACCTCGAGCATTTTATCACCATGCCCGCAGTGCCGAGCACATGGGCGCGCGTCACCAGAAGTGCGCAGAGGCTCCCTGCCCCGTGCGACGCGCATCTGAACAATACTTCCACCGCAGTAGCGTGTCGCTCCGCCGGCTCTGACCCACCGCGCTTTGGCGCGAAACGGTAACCTCTCCTGGTCCCCATGTGTCAACGTCCCGAGCCTCTCCGAGCCTCTCGCCCTGCGGGGCGGGGCGGGACGCTATCCGCTCGCAGGGCATAGCGCGTCGCCGGGGTCGCCGTTGAGACACGCTAAACAAAAGTTCCTGACCGTAACTTGCAGTCACGCAGCCTGGAGACCCACGGAGAACGAAACACGTTGCGAAATCCGCAGGGGAGGCGGGGGCGTCAGAGCGAAGGTCCTCCCAGGCAGCGTGGAAAACAGGGGCCCGCGTTGGCGAAGGCAAAGCTTTGCCGTGCACGCCGGTTCTGGCCAGGCCCGCGCGTCAGCGGGGGCATTTCCACCAACCCTCGCCCTTCTACCCCGACGTCCGATGTGTCCAAGCATCCGAAGACAACCCGCCGCTTGGGCACCGCCGCAAGACCGAGCGGCGAACATGAATCGGGCGTAGCCCCGCGCATTTGGATGCCCGCGGTTCGCCCCAACGTCTCCAATCGGTTGCGCGATAGGTTGCGGCCTCGCCGGTCGGGAATAAAACCGCATCCTATTGGTTGCGCCATGAGTTGCGCCCTAAGTCGTCTCATATCGGTTGCGCCGTACGGTTGCGCCTTCGGCGGCCGAGAATAACACCGTCTCCTATAGGTTGCGCCGTCGGTTGCGCCCACGGCGGCCGATAATATTACCATCTCCTGGTGGTTGCGCCATAGGTTGCGCCCTCGGCCGCCCATGACCAAACCAAATCCTAACGGTTGCGCCACATGTTGCGCTCTTTGTTTGTTTTTGCGCCGATTTCAAAACCGTTTCTTATACTCTGCGCCCTCAGCGTCCGAGAATATAACAGTATCCTAACGGTTGCGCCATAGGTTGCGCCTTCGGCCGCCAAAAACAAAACCGTCTCTTAGCGGTTGCGCCATAGATTGCGGCGTCGGCGGCCGAGAGTAACATTGTTTCTATCGGTTGCGCCATCGGTGGCGCTTTCGGCGGTCGGGAAGAACGCCGTCTCCTATCGGTTGCGCCGTAGATTGCGCGGTTGGCCGCCATTAGTAAAACAATGCCCGATCGGTTGCGCCATAGTGTGCGGCCTCCACGGCCGAGACCAAAACCGTCGCAGATTGTTTGTGCCATCCGTTCCCCCCCCGGCGGCCGAGGCTAAAACCGTCTCCTTTTGGTTGCGCCATAGGTTGCGCCCTCGGTGGCCGAGAATGAACCCGTTTCGTAACGAGTGCGACCAGTCAGTTCATTTTACCTGAGTTCAAGCCCACTCCAGTCCAGTCCAGTCCAACTTACCTCGCGAGAAATATATTCGGGCGACGCTCGAAATGAGACAGGTTCTTCAAAGTTTTCGGCTTCCCGGGGCCAATGCTGGGTTTCGGGGCCGCCACAAAGAGACTTCCAGGGGCAATACCTGGTTCCCGGGAAGTCGAGAGGTTTGGGGCCCATGTCGCGAACAAATCGAAACACCGGATGACTGGGTACTTGGGATGGGCGCTGCTGGGATCGGCGTGCGAAGATGAGTGGGTCGGCGTCCCCCTGAAAGGACGTCGGTGGGCACGATGCGGAGCTGGGCGAGCTGCTCGAGGCCGTCATCAGGCCCCTTTTGAGGGAGCAGGAGCAAAACCTCACGAGGTCCATATCGGCCATGCTCGACAGCTTCCGCGCGGTGGCGAATCCGCTTGTCGGCCTAGACATCCCGGAGCCGCGGCCGGCGGCGGGGCCGAGGTCGCAGGACAGCTGCAGGCAGTTCGACGGGTTAGAGCGCCAGTTCTCGGCACCTCCAGAGATCCGCGGCGGAGGCTTCGACCGCCAGGTTTCCGAATCCTCGAAGGCCAGCTTGGCGAAGTCGCCCCGGCACCGTAAGGGCAAGGCGCCGGGTGTGAAGTCACTCGAGGACGCCAGGGGGACGGAGATCCTCTCCGGCATGACCAAAAACGGCAGGCTCGAGCAGGAGTTGGGCGCTCCCGTCTGGGTGCGCGCCACGTCCGCGGGCGACCGCGCCAGCGACAGTGCGGAGGATCCTGGGAGAGAGCGATACGCAGCCGCATCCACGGCCTCGCGGGCTGGGCCCCTTCGCCGCGACCCCGCGGATGCTGAGCGTTTTGCGGATGCCCCGCGCGGAGCGTGTCCGTGCAACCGCGTATCCGCGGGCTCGCGCATCAGAAGCAAGACCGCGAGGGCGTAGATATGGATACATACGCCGGTCGTGAGCCCATCCGCCCAGCGTCTCGATGTTCAATGTTCAACGGGCCCCCGACCTCTTCACCTGTTCCCCGGTTCCAGTTCTTCATCCCGAAACGTCTTCTGACGGTCCCGAGGTTCGGTGGGGGCCCGAAGGAGGCCGAAAACTACGATACAATTGCGTCTCGACTTTTTCGAGATGCCGGATGTCTGGGTTCGGCTCCCCGCCCCCCAGACCATCGACGTTTGGTTCACAACGTCGACCCCCAGAGGTCTCGCCACATTCCCCGGGGCTGTCGTTTCATCTTGATCGTTTTTCCAACATCCTAAGTGTGTATCTTTTTTCTCTGGGCACCCTGCGCAGTCTTCGTTCTCCCCCCCTCTCCTCCCCTCCCTCCGCATTCACTGGCTCACTCAATCGTTCACACCATCAACACCGTTACCATCAGCCTCATCATCACTAACATCATCACCATCAGCATCAGCATCATCATCAGAAGCAGCATCATCACTCGTCTGCGCTCACCATCGTAATCACCACCAGCCTCCTCCTCCTCATCACCATTCCCACCATATCGACATCATCGTCAACATGCACATCATCATAATCCTCATCATCATAATCATCATCATCATCATCATCATCATCAGTAAGATCATTGTCATCCTCATCATCGTCATCGTCATCGTCATCGTCATCGTCATCATCTTCGTGGCCAACAGTTACATACTCACCACTTACGATCACTTACTCATTCACTCATGCACTACAAAACGACCACCATTACTATATCAACCAGCCTTACCATCGTCATCATCATCATCAACAGCATCACCACCATCATCATCATCATCATCATCAGCAGCATCATCATCACCATCGTCATCATCATCATCACCATCATCATCTTCATATTTTTCACCCGCGACATCATCATCATTCGCATGTGTGTCAGCTGTCGTCACCCTGAGGATTCCAGAGCGTGAGTGTGGAGGCAGTCTCGAGCGGGAACCTTGTGTGCGAGTGAGTCGTGAGGGCGTCTCAGGCGGGAGCCCCCTCCCTATGGGACCCACGGACCACAATGTTAATCCGAACGAGCCATCGGATTATTGTAGCGGTCGTCACGTTTTGGGCTTCTGGAGCTTCCTTGCAAGACGTACCTGAATATAAGTGACGCATTTAGATGCGATCGCGCCTTGGTGCAGGCGAGAAGCCGATCGTATCTAATATTCTACAACGGCGACAAACACATACAGTCATTTCAATGCGCGCCCCCGGCCTGCACGGGAGCGCCGCCGTATCTAAACGTAACAACTTTTCAAGCAGAGCTAACCTTTTGGGACCGTATATATTTTTCTTCCAGGGGACATGTTCATTCGTATCTGATGTTCCAAGAATGGCACTGCTGCGCCGTACCTGTTCGTATAATCATTTGTCAGAACGGATGCTGTTGGTTGTGCTTTCGGAGCGAAGAGGATCTATGATACCGGTCGAAGCAATGAGCAATGGGATGGGGATCGTGGGAAGCCGTAGCGATGAGGAGCGAGGCGACGAGCGACGACGACAACGACGACAAGGAGTAGGATGGATAACGTCGGCGAGACGAGATTCAGGAGAGATCTTGGAAGGAACAGGGAATCGTAGGAGGGGGAGATCAACGAGGAGGAGGAGGAGGCGGAGGACGAGAACGAGGAGGATGCGTCAAATCGAAAGTGAAGGGGGTGGTGCGGGCAAGAAGGAGAGAAGATGAGCACCGAGGAGGGCGGATGAGGAAGATCCAAGAGGAGTGAGGAGCGAGAACGGTCGATCGCGGGCGTGCGCAGAGGACTCGAGGGACAATCGCGATGGCGGTAATGGGGATGATGAGGAGGAGAATGAGGGTGACCATTGCGGGGGAGTGCCGAGAAGGTTGACGAAAATGGGGAATAAAACGCGGAACTCCTGAGGGCGAAATTTGGTGGAGTACGGGGGAGGAGGAGGAGGAGGAGGAGGAGGAGGAGAAATGTGAGGACGAATCGGAGGCGTGATGGGGGATATTCATTTCGATAAGAGTGCGCAAGGATCATGATGCGGAGGCATGGGGAGGAGTGGTTTGGACGATGAGCGCAGACGAGGGGGAGGATGAGGGCGCGCGGCGAGGAGGCAAGAAGAGCGATATGGACGGAGTAGGAGGGAGCGTCAGATGGATATCGTGGAGGAAGGGGCGTCTGGACGGGGATGAAGAAGAGCAATGATTGAAAAGAATGGCTCCTCTGCTTCGTCCTCGTCGCCGTGATCGTTCGGCTCGCCCACTGTCCCCCCCAATCCCACCGGTTCGTCATGATTTCATCCTCCTCCTCGTCGTTGTCGTCCTGACTGGCATGTGCATTGTCTTCCGTGTTCGTGGTCTTTGAGCGGCCTCGGCATGGCAGTGATATGGCGCCGTATCAATTCGTATCTGTTCTGTTGTAGACACGTTTTCCAGCGATGGGCGCCAGAGTGAGCCGTATCTAGACATATCCATACATATCTACTCGTATCTAAAAATGGCCCGTATCCAAAAGTAGTAATAAAACATGCCTCTCGTATCTAAGCAAATAAGCAATCGTATCTAAACAGATTGGCTTGGGAGAGATATAGTTTCGTATCTAGTTGTCTTAAGGAGGCACTGTAAAACACAGCTGGTTCAAGGAGGAATTTTAGATACCGCGCGGCCCTTCCGAATGCAGCCACCGCTGGGAAAATGAGCAACCCAAACAGATGTTGTAGATATGTCTTCCATGGATGATTATGGGGGAAGTCTCAGGCGGGCGCCTGGTTTGTGAGTGAATCGCGAGGAATTCTCAGGTGGGAGCCGCTTCCCTATGGGACCTGCAAATCATTTTAGAGAGTATTTTTTATGGTTGGAACCGTAATGTCCGTGACGGTGGGGTCGTCCCCCCCGCCCCCTCCCCCGTAATCGTCGCGCGCGTACGCGCGGGTGGTGCCGGCTCTCCTTCAGGTGCTGCGCAATGCGCGCGGGCGGGCTGTGGTATTTGCAGGCATTCTTTGGTGCTCACAATCAGCATCGTTTAACCGATCCCCATCCCCATCCCCATCTCGAGCCCCACCATCTCACCACCCCAGTTGGGGATATACCCTTCGAAACCCGAAGGGAGCAGCATATATCCATCCAGGGGGGCAATCGGCCAGTGGGGCCCAGGCCAAACCAGTGGGGATAGGGATCGGTTAGACGATGCTCACACAAGCATACTGCGGCGGTCGCAAGCATCCGATTCGCCGGGAGTGCCGGGAAAGCCGGGAGTGCGGCGCTGCTGCTGTTGCCGCTCCTGCTGCTTCTGCCGCTGCCGCTGCTGCTCCAGTGTCCCTTCTCCTCCTCCTCGGCCTGTGTTCTTCCGCCTCCCGTGCTGTGCCTGCTGGTCCTCTTGTTGGTTCTCCCGCTGTTCCGCCTGTTGCTTCCCCTGCTGATGCTGCTCCTGCTGCTCCTCTCTGCTCCTCCTTCCTGCTGATCCTCATCCTGTTCCTCCTGTTCATCATGCTGCCCCTCCTGCTTCTATCTGGCTGCCCCTCCTGCTGCTCCTGCTGCTGTCCATCCCCCCTTCTCTTGCTGCTCCTGCCTGCTCCTGCTGCTCCTCCAGCTGGTCCTCTGGCCATCACCTCGGCTGCTCTTCCTGTTGTTCCTCTTGTTTTTCTTCTTGCTCCTGCTCCTCCTGCCAATATAATCGTTGCTTATCGTGATGCTCTGTTCTTGATTGTTTTGCAGCTGTTCCTGCTGGTGATCCTGCTCCTCCTCATCCTCCTGCTGCTCCTCTTGCTGTTCCGTTTGTCTCATGCTGCTGCTTCGGTTGCTCATCCTGCTGCTCTCTTCCCTGCTGCTGCTCCTCATGATGCTGTTGCTCCTCCGGTGTTTTTGATCTGCTCATGCTCCTCTTCCTGCTCCTCGTCCCCCTTGCTGCTCAGGTGCTCCTCCTCCCTGTTCCTGTTGCTTCTGCTGTTGCTGCGCCTCCTGCCTGGACATCCTCCTGATGTTTTCTCTAGCGGTGCCTCCAAATAAATGCTTTTATTGCTGCTCGATGTGCTGTTCTTCCTGCTGCTCCTTCACTTGCTCTTTCTGCCCTCCTGGTGCCTCTCCTTTTCTCCTGCTGCTCCTGCTGCTCATCTTACTGCTGCTCCTGCTACTCTTTTCATTTCTTCACCACCAACTACCTCTTCTGCTGTTCCTTCGACTGCTAATTGTATTACAGCTGCAATAGTTTAACTACGACTATTTCCGCTATTACCACAACTCCCACGACCACGAAAACTAGTATGATTCATGCTTACTGTTTCTAAGATTGCGACTACGAATGCTCCGACGACTTCCTCCTCTACTACGACCAGTACGACCACAGCTACCATGATTCTTACACACATGACACAATACTACTGACTGTTACTACCACTTCGGTACGACTTGTATTGTTGAACTTTGTGTTTATGCGTGCTGCCGCTACTAATTTTGCTTGCGTTATGACGTCGTGGTACGTACTACGTGCTGCTACGGCCCGTAGAGCACTTGAAGAAGTAACAGTGCACGTGCTACGTGTAGTCAGTTCAGTAGTAGTAGTAGTAGGAGGAGCAGTAGTAGTAGTAATCGTAGTAGTAGTAGTAGTAGTAGTAGTAGTAGTAGTAGTAGTAGTAGCAGTAGTTCTAGTAGTTCTAGTAGTTCTAGTAGTAGTAGTAGTAGTAGTAGTAGTAGTAGTAGTAGTAGTAGTAGTAGTAGTAGTAGTAGTAGTTGTAGTGGTAGTAGTAGTAGTAGTAGTAATAGTAATACTAGTAATAATAGTAGTAGTAGTAGTAGTAGTAGTAGTAGTAAT